GCTGTTTCTGAGACTTGAGGGGAGTGTGTCTGATAGGAGACACCTGGTCAGGAACTGTGTCAGTGGTGGTCACTGACTGGGTTTCACGGACCGTTTCTGGCTGCATTCAGCCCCTTGCCAGTCTGGCACCCAGAGCAATGAAGGATGGGCTCTTGGGTGCTGTTCTTCTGAGTTAGTGTTCCTTCAGGGAAGGAAGAGGCTCCCTAGGTGGCAGATTAGCTCCTAATTCCTCAAACAGGTTGTGGATCATCTCCTGAAAGGAATTCTCAGGATGATTTCATGTGATCTTAGCCTGCTGCCCTCCCCGTCATCCTGTGCTTTCACCATACTTTTGAAGAAATTGACCATTTTGCCTTTCTAACTTCAGAACAAGAGCAGCCAAGTGAGTACCACTGAAGAGGGCACATTCTGCATTCCTGACCATCACCTTTGCCAGGCACCCCTGAATCCTTTCATAGCCTAATGGGGAGTTAACACCCAATTAAAGATGACTGGTTAAAGAAAAACATGTCTCTTAGCAACTTTCAAATCAAGTAATATGAATAATAATCACCATTCTGTATATTAAATCCCCATGAGTTATTTACTTTATAATTCGAAATTTGTGGCTCTTGGCCTCTTCACACGTTTCAGCCGCTGCCTCTGGCAGTCATTAGTTTCTTCTAATGTTTCTTCTGTATCTGTGATTTCTGTTCCATCTTTTTGTCTTTGATTTTTTTTTCCAGAGTCCACATATAAATGAGGTCATAGAGTATTGGTATATGTCTTTCTCTGTCTGACTTCACTTAGTATAATTCCCTCATCCATCCATGTTGTCACAAATGGCAGAATTTCCTTCTTTTTACTATTGGATAATATTCAATTATATACATGCCACATTAAAAAAAAAATCTCTTGATGATGTCTTGTTTCCATGTCTCTAAAAAATGCTGCATTGAACAGTGGAGTGTAGATATATTTTCAAAATAGTGATTTTGGTTCCTTTGGGTAAATACCAAGAAGTGGAACTGTTGGGTTAGATGGTAGTTTCTAGTTTTAATGTTTTGAGAACTCTCCATACTGTTTTTCATAATATCTGAACTAGTTGACATTCTCCCCAGCAGTGTAGTGCTTCCCTGGCAGCTCACAGATGGTAAAGAATCTGCCTGCAGTGCAGGAGACCCTGGTTCGATCCCTGGGTTGGCAAGATCCCCTGGAGAAGGGGATGGCTACCCAATCCAGTGTTCTTACCTGGACAATTTCACAGACAAAGGAGCCTAGCAGGCTACAGTCCGTGGGGTTGCAAAGAGTTGGACACTACTGAGCAACTAACACACACATACACCAGCAGTACATAGGGCTCCCTTTTCTCCACGTTCTTGCCAACATTTGTTATTTCTTGGGGTTTTTTTTTTTTTTGGTAATAACCATTCTTACAGGTATGAGGTGATATTTTATTGTAATTTTAATTTGTATCTCCCTGATGGTTAGTGATGTCGAGCATCTTTTCCTGTACTTGTTGGCCATTTATTTGTCTTCTTTGGAAAAATGTCTATTCAGAGCCTCTCCTCATTTTTAAATTGGGTTGTTTGCTTTTCTGTTAAGTTGTATAAGGGTTTAAAATATATATATTGTAGATTATAAATCAACTATATTCTAATAGAAAATAAAAGTTTTTAAAATATACTGTGGAAATTGTTTTATTATGATACTTAAGTGCCAAAGGCAGAAGATATTATATACTGAGTAGTAGTGCATTAAAATGTACATCAAAAAAAAACACTAAAATGTACATCCAAGAATCCTTGTAACAGACATTTTGAAATGTTCATACTGGTTTTAATATAAGAACTGTATTATGCAGGATTTGATTCTCCTTTATGTTTTTCCCCCAAAATATCTTAGATAATTTTACTAAAATTTTAGTAATAAAATCACAAGAGAGCAAATACTTCATGTGCTTTCTCCCTTCTTTTGTAGTGTAAGGCCTAAAACGTTCATGTGGTATCTTAACATCGTTGAACCTCACAGGGCTCAACAGTCTAACCATGAGTTCCTCTCTTCTCACCAGATATGCCTCCCACCCAGTGGGAAAGGCTTTCAGCTGGTTAGTTCCCATATCTGCCAAACCATCTGTACTCTTCCTGGCCTTCAACCTGTTGGGGTGTATCTCCCTGTCAGTCACAAAGTTAATCAAAGAAGCCAATCACATCCTTCTACAGCAAGCAGGGAGCAAGCACCTCATCTGCTAACATCTTGTTAGCAGAACTGTCTTCCACCACTCCTGTTGTTTTACTCTTCTGCTGAGTGACACTACCCTGTGACCTGTTGTATCCATCTCCCCTAGGACTTGAGGATACTCGACTCATAGACTACCGTCAGTCTCACCTGTCTGGTATCCAGGTGTGTATTCAGATATCTCCAGAACTCTGAGGCAGGACTCCTCCATTGCTGCTAGCTGAGAAAAAAGCTGCCTACTCATTTTTACTGCTATTCCATGAGTTGTCAGCATCTACACTGAGAAAAATTTTTTTTTTAAAATTTGGCTGCCTTGGGCCTTAGTTGTGGCACATGGGATCTTCATTGCATCATGTGGGATCCTTCATTGCAGTGTGGGCTCCCTAGTTGTGGCACATGGGCCTTCAGGTTGTGGCACATGCAGGTTCAGTAGTTGAGGCTCCACAGGCTTAGTTGCTCTGACACATGGGATCCTAGTTCCCCGACCAGGGATTGAATCTATGTCCCCTGCATTGCAAGGTACATTCTTAACCACTGGACCACCAGAAAAAGTCTCAAAAGATTTTTCTGAAGCTCAGTTAACCTTCAAATAGGAATGCTAGATCATGTTGTCAACTTACATGTCTGTGACTGAAATTTTATTTTGCTGAGTCTACAAACTAATATTATACTTTTGCCCTATTTGTAAGACAGATAAGGCTAAAATTAATGTAGGTATCATAGGTAAGGAGCCCTCATTAAGCTTGGAATCAAATAGAAAAGGATGTTTTTGGGTTACTTCTTCAGGTTGGGTGCAAGTTGAGCATTAGAACTGCAAGTTAAAGGGGGTGAGGCGAGAAAAAAAGAACAGAGTTAAAATGGGAAAATGGTAGCAGAAACACATTCTTGTACTGCTGTGAAAATGTAAAATGGTATAATCACAATGAGAAGTTTGTCAGTAACACAAGTTAACCTGCAAAAAGCAAGTCTACTTTTGAAGTTAACTCACATATAAGCCTTATATATATGTGCAAAACTGAAGTTTATGGAGGGATATTAATTGAGCATTATAAGAAAGCATAGGAAAATTTATAATATTTATTTGTAGAGTTTCATTTCTTAGAAAAGGGTTCAGTTACACATACTGTGGCCTACTTTGCAGTTGTTGAAAATGAAAACACTTCTTGTGTACTGATATGGAAACACATTTGTGTGAAGAAAAATATATACGTTCATATGCATATAGCACACATAGTATTTGAAATTACATATACATTTTGTATTCATGTGTGTGTATGTGTAAATATCTGTATATTTTATTTTAAAATAACATCTGAAACAACAAGGTCCTACTGTATAGCATAGGGAACTACATTCAATATCCTGTTATAAACCATAATGGAAAAGAATATGAAAAATTATATCTATGTATAACTGAGTCACTTTGCTGTACAGCAGAAATTAATATTATAAATCAACTATATTTCAATAAAATTTTAAAAGATGTCAAGATAAATTATTTTTATGAGAAGAGGAAAAAATCTGTAAGGTTAAACACTAAAACCAAAATGCTGTGCATGCTAATACTAGCCACTGTATGTCTGAAATATATTGCAAAAGAGGTTGATCACATTTTAGTTAAACTTTATATCCTTTTAAATGTTAATCTATTCATGGTTTGCATATTTAAAATATGTTGTAATGATGATAACTGACATATAGGTATCCTTTGATGAGAACTTGACATTTCCCACTTGCTGGTCTTACTCATTTATCTAAATTTATATGAATGCAACTTTGATTCTTCTGATAACCCAGAAGAATTTTCCTCTTAGATTCTGAGCCTGATTTATCTTCACTGTCCAAACAACAAAGAAGCAAAATATTTTTCAATGAGATGTCATGACCAGGGATTAGGAATTAAAAGATGTTTCTCAACTTGTGGGCTCTTAAAATGCAGTCAAACCCATCAGTTCATAATAGAGTAGAGAGGGATGAAAACAATCCCTTAACAACAATTTCAGGTGGACATAGTATTGTAAAATGTAAATAAGGTATTGCTTTTCTTTTTGTTCTAGTTTTCAGAGAACTCCTGAAATCAGTAGTCTAGAAAAAGGGACCAAAATTCATTCTGCCTTTTTCTACAGTGGGAAAATGTTATATATATTAATAGCAAAGTCTCACTTTATCTGGGCTTCCCAGGTGACTCAGTGGTAACGAATCTGCCTGCCAATGCAGTAGATTCAAGAATTCTATCCCTGGGTCAGGAAGATTCCCTGGAGGAGGAAATGGCAACCCACTCCATTATTCTTTCCTGGAGAATTCCACGGACAGAGGAGCCTGGCAGGCTACAAGTCGATGGAGTCGCAAAGAGTCAGTCGACTGAGCAAACACACACACACGCACACACACACACACTTTATCCAGCTTTTCTCACCTGGAAACACGGCTTTGCTAATCAACAATATAGTGTTATACACCCTTTGTAACCTGGGAGACTTCAGCTGTAAAAACGACAGGAATTAGTATCTGTGGCATTTTGAGTGGAAAGAGCCTTGTAGGGAAGGGAGAGTCTGTTTGGATTATGAACCCACCTTCCAGATCTTCCACTCCTGGCCCTCAGGATCATATTACTGACTTAATTGTGCAGACCTCTCACAGGCAGGCTAGAAGCCTGGCCAAAGAAGAGCCCCTCAGTCCACTGCTCCCAGTTCTCTGATCTGGTCCCATTCGGACACGCCTCCTCCCGGCCCCGGGACCCGCTGGACACGCCCCCTACCTCACGTCCCGCCTCTTTGAGAAGTATGCGCTGCGCAGGCGCAGTCGGGCAGTCACGCCCAGAAGTCTTCCGGCCCCACCCGGCGGCTACGTCTAAGTTTTACGACGTGGAGCCTCACGTCACACAGACGACCAGGTGACTTTGGACCCTGGTTCTTTTCCCGTATCCCTTGTTGCAAACTGCGCGTGAGTGGCACCATCTGAGGAGGAATCCAGCGTGGGTCGCCGCGGAGACGACTGTGCAGACTTAGCCAGAGCCCGCGAGGGACGGTGATTGGCGGTGAGAGTGGGGTTGCGGGAGGCGCTCAAAGCGTGGACCGCCCGAGCGCCGCCGCGCAAGTCCGCCCGTCCCCTCGGGGCTGTGGGCGCTTGAGCAGCGGGGTTGAGGGGGCGCTGGGTTTTATCTCTCTTTTAGGGTGAGTGCGATTGTGAGAGTGAGAGGTGCGCGTTCGTTTTTTGTGACGGAGACACCGAGTGAGTGTCCTTTCTGTGAACGTGGATTACACAGAGCTCTTTGTCCCCGCCGCTGCTTCCAGGCTTCTCTCAAACATGTATGTCTCCCAAAGAATGTGGGCGCTGTTGAGAAATCTGTTTTTGAGTCCTGCAAGACACCTTCCAGCAAGAAAGTACATACCGCCTGCTGAGATCGGAATTTTAAAATCAAGAATTGTCCCTGAGGCCAGGTTTCTGAGAGAGTCCACTTTGTAGGAAGGGGCCTGAGGGTCTGTCCTGGTCGCTGCCCACCCTAAATTGTAAATTCCCCCACTTCTCCTGCCGTCCAGAACTTTAAATAGCCTCCAGCACACTGTGTGGCTGCCAAAAGTTGTATTAATAATTAAATAATGTCCAGCTGTCAAAAGGCTGTTATTAAAAAAAAGAATTGCCCCTGAGACAGATTCCTACCACGATCCTTCCTCGGATTACCCTTCCTGGAAGTTCTCTGGGGCTCACTTATACATTTGAGTATGAAAGCATTTCTTGAGCTCAGACGGCAGAAACCTGCTATGAGCCTTGATACAGATTCCACAGTCCTACTTAATTCTGGTTTTATGTATGAGATCACGGCGGATTTAGTAGCTTTGAAGGATGGAACACAATAAATGCGTAACATTGTCTTTATTGTGGTGTCATTCACCCTTCAGATTTCTATAAATCAATGACGAAAATATGAAGTTAATGTGATGAGTGCTTCTATATCAAAGGGCTGCTGCTGTTACTGCTGCTAAGTCACTTCAGTCGTGTCCGACTCTACGTGACCCCATAGACGGCAGCCCACCAGGCTCCGCCGTCCCTGGGATTCTCCAGGCAAGAACAATGGAGTGGGTTGCCATTTCCTTCTCCAATAAGTGAAAAGTGAAAGTGGAGTCACTCAGTCGTGTCCGACTCTTCGCGACCCCATGGACTGCAGCCCACCAGGCTCCTCCGTCTATGGGATTTTCCAGGCAAGAGTACTGGAGTGGGGTGCCATTGCCTTCTCCTATATCAAAGGGCTAGGTGGAGCTAATTTTCCAGTGTTCTGATCCAGGGGTCCTTTGTGTTTGGGGGCTTACAAGGGACCACAAACTCTTTGTAATTGTCTAGAATTACCGCATATATTTGTAAATATGCAGTTTTGAAAGGTGTGCATAACCTTAACAGATTAGACTTGGGTAACTGATCTGCAATGAAAGATTTTTATACTTTTGGATGATTTTTCACAAAATTAATGATTATACAAATGGAATGGTTAAGAAAATCACAGGACATCCATGAGTTAAAATATTATATAGATAATAAAATTTCTGTTCATAAGAATTAGTCATTACAAGAAAAAAATGGCTATGATCGAATGTTGAGCAATCTTAATATACTGTAGTTATAAAACAGTAGTCAAGAAAATTTGAAAGCAGCAGCTCATTTTATTTTTTTTTTAGCAGCTCATTTTAAAAAGAGAATTTTGTAAAAACTTTTGCAAGGATTGTAGACAAAATGATAATTGGTTTTTCAGAGAAGAATAAAAGTGTTCAGCTACATTTACTGAGCATTCTCTATGTACCCAGAACTTTTCTATCTACTTGGTATACATGTTCACATTAATTTGTGAAGGCAGTTTCCCTTTGTGTTGATGTTAGAGTGTTTATGGTGAGATGTCTCTAATTATCATCAGTGCAGTACAGCTAAAGGGTATTCAGGAAGTGAATATACTTAAGTGGTATTTTAATCATGTTGAGTTTTTCATCATAGGTCTGATATTAACAAATCTTTTTAATGAGGAAAATATAACCTCTTTCCAAAGTCATGTCTACAAATATTTTAATACTTTGAAATATCTTTATATTTTATTTATGATAATGGAATTAATCCAGGTTTACTGCCAAAAAATAAGCCTGTGTTCACTTCCTTAAGGAATTTATTGAGAAGAAAGCAAGGATAATCCATAATCTCCCTAGAGATAATCACTTTAACATTTTGGTGTGTGTGTGTATATATATTTTTTGTTGTTGTTGTTCTATTTTTGTGTGGCTTTGTTTTGACAGAATAAAATTGATCAAGTAAAGGAGACAAAAGAGTCCAACTCATAGTTCAAAAAATCTAATCTAATCCAATAATAGATTTCTTTATACCCTGTATATGTAAGGAGAAGAGGGAAGGGCAGAGAATCTTGTGTGAAAAGCATTACAAACAGTTATGCCTTTTATTTATTACAAATGTTATTTGAAACAATTACCAGGGCACCATATTACTAAGGGAGACATCTTTTCAGAGTTAATAACTTAGAAGTTTGAGCTTACTTTCTGAAAAAATAGCATTAATCTCTAATTTCCAGGTGTCTTGCAAGTACAAGCAATATTTAAAAACATAGTTGTTATGCTAGAAAATAAAGATAATATTTATAAATATTTATGTAAATATGTGAAGAATAAAATTGATTCTCCAGTTGTATTCTCAATTTTATCATACTATTTTTGGAACTGGTTTATGATTCTGAAAAGTTTTTCTTACTCTCTATGGCTGCTGCAGACTGAGGAAATGCATAGTTTCTCTTTTCTTGTCTAATAATTTCTCTTTTTTAAAATAATGATTTTATAAAGCAGAAATCTATTTTCTCAAATGTAGCTCCTAAAATTTTATTAAATATTAGAATTATAAGAAAGAGGAAGCTCAAGAAGCACAAGTTTTAATATAATAAAACCAGGAAGCATCAGAATTAACTTTTTTTATAATGAAAGATTAAGGAATATGGAATGATTTTCTTCTTCAGTAATGATAGAAAATTTACATTAGTCATCATGATGTACAGTTTAGTATGTATATGGATTATTTTGCCTAGTCTTCAAAATAGTTATATATGATTTTTTTTATCCTTACTTTGCTAATGAGGAAATTGGCATTGAAATGTTTTTCTTAATTTCAGTGGGATGCCACCTCCTAAATTATGCATGCCTTCTTCACTGAGCAATTCTTTAAATATTGTTTTCCATTAGTTATATGGTTTAATATCATCCTTATTAAGAATTGCATGGCATATATGTCACAATATAGCAGACTATAATATATTTAACCTGTTTGCTTGCAGTGAGATTTTCATGTTTTTAATTGTGGACCATCAAAAATTATTCTCTGATGAACATCCTTGTGTTTTAACTTTGTAAATTTATATAGTTATTTCCTTTAAAATTTTTTGAAAAGTGGTATTTTGTAGTAAAAAAAATCATACTTCTTTTAATTGTTTAAAATATGCCAGACCTGGAAAGTATAATATTTGAGGTAATGTAATTACTAAAGACATAATTGCTTCCTTCAGAGCACTTATAATCTGTGAAGGAATTTAAAACCTGAATAGGAATAGGGCTTCCCTGGTGATTCAGTGGTTAAGAATCCACCTGGCAATGCAGAAGACATAGGTTCAATCCCTGGTCCAGGAAGATTCCCATATGCCTTGGAGCAACTAAGCCGGTGTGCCACAACTACTGAGCCTGTGCTCCAGGGCCTTGCAAGCCACAGCTACTGAAGCCCATGCACCCTGAAGCCCGTGCTCCACAACAAGAGAAGCCATTGCAATGAGAAGCCTGCACACCGCAACTAGAGAACAGCCCTGCAACTAGAGAAAAGCCAGTGCCACAGCAAAGACTCAGCACAGCCAAAAACAAATAAATAATTTTTAAAAATTAAAAAACAATCTGAATAGGGATAATTATAAAGTAGTATGTGATAAAGGCCACTGGTGAGAGTTAAGTGACCTGCCTAAAGGAGACATGTGGGTGACTGTAGTGACAGTAAGAATATAAACAAGTAACACTGAGCACATGGGATCTGTATGGCAATATAAGTGGATATTTTTACTATAACCTTTATATCTTGTAGACATCATTCTAGTATGAGATGTATAGCAAAATAATAGGTAAAAATAATTCAGTAGCTTTCTGGAGGGTATCATGACAAAACTGACTGGTTCAGAAACAAAAATTCTTCTGTCAAAAAGATCTGAAATAAAGATGCATTGAGACTGTCATCACTTCACAAAAGAGATTACTCAGGGACTGTTCCCAAGTTTTTTGTAGCCAAAATTTCAATATAACTGAGAAAAAAGTATAAAATGAGATATTAGGATCCAAAAGAAACAAAAGCCATTTAGTAAAATAATGTGAATTTAAAGAAGAAAGAACTTTTGGGAAGTCTTCACCTTAAGTTAAAAAAATCTTTCAAATTCCTATGTAAATTGTTAAAATGATTATGAGGTAACCTTTTAAAAGAAACAAGATCTAAGCAAAACGATAGGGATTGCTCATGTCAAATTCTGATCATGGCAAAGGTGTATTTTATGTCTTCAGTAGTCTTATTTGATTGTTTCATGTATGGACTAAAAACAATTGAATACACAGTGATTCATTTCTAAAGACATCCCCACAAAAACAAACAATGCAAAACATAACCAAAAATATAAGAGCTCTTAGTATGTAGATGTACAAATTTCTAGACATTTCTATCTTCTGTTTTATGATTGTCATTCTTTTCTCTGTATTGATTAATATGCTGCTATGTTTTATAAATAGAAATATATTAAACTTGACTTTTCTATGAGTGTAAATGAAACATTTTCACTTCGTTAAATATTCTTCCCAATTTAACATTTAATGACTACTTTGTATTCTAGTATATTGTTGGTCTGTCATATATTTAACTAATAAGCTTTGCTGGACTTAGAATGCTGAACATTTCTTGTCCATCTCTAATATTTTGATCAACTGCAACCACTTTCAAGGCCACGAAAGAGGTTTTAATTTGGATTACATAGCCTCTTTTCTGTGTTGAAGTTCGCAATGGAAAGAGGAAGATCTGCTCAGAGCAGGACACAGCTGCCCAATCTCAGATTCATATCAATCTGATCACAATGGTACATTGGTCATAAAATTTTCTACTGAAGTATCTGGGTCTGGGTTTCAATGCAGAACTGACTCTGCAGCTGAGGCCTCTGGGAAATGAGTGAGGAATACATTTGTCCAGAATCCTAACTTACCCAAGTTGGGTGTGATGGGACGTCATTAGGAATCTGGAATGGAAGAGCATAAATGGTGATATTAACTGAAGCCCAGTGTGGAAACCCTAAAGCACATCTGAAAGTCTTTCTCTTCTCCTAGGTCTGTGTTTTTTGGACTTGGCTTTCCTGATAGAGAAGCCCAGAGGACTGATCAGCTCTTACAGGTCTAAAACCATGGCCCATGTAAGTTAATGTTTCTCTTCTCATTGAAATATATGGGTGTTTTTTAGGTCATGTAAGCATTTTCATTAATTTTCCTGAAGTTTCCTAAGAGAAAGTTTGCGCAAATAACCTGTTTCCTAAATAAATAAACAACCTGTTTCCTAACTATTGTTCCAGAGAAATATGAGGTCAGATTACCTAGCACTGTCTCTGTTTGGCCCATTCGAAACTAGCATTCATATTATTATTTCCCAGATTATTCAGTATATTTTAAGTGCCCATTTTTCAATTAAGGGCAGTGATGAAATAATGGGGCTTAAAGTTCTTTGAAGTAAAGATTTATGCTGTACAGGTCAGATTTCTAGCTTGAAGATAGAGACAGTTCAGTTTAGTCGCTCACTCGAGTCCGACTCTTTGCGACCCCATGGACTGCAGCACGCCAGGCCTCCCTGTCCATCACCAACTCCTGGAGCCTGCTCAAACTCATGTCCATCGAGTTGGTGATGCCATCCAACCATCTCATCCTCTGTCGCCCCTTCTCCTGCCCTCAATCTTCCCCAGCATGAGTCTTTTCCAGTGAGTCAGTTCTTTGCATCAGGTGGCCAAAGTATTGGAGTTTCAGCTTCAGCATCACTCCTTCCAATGAATAGTCAGGACTGATTTCCTTTAGGAGATAGAGATAGTGGTTCTATTTAATTATCCATGGTAAGACTTTGATGTTTTCCACAGATGTGAGATTTCCAGGTAGATGAGGTGGAATTTTTCATTGAATGACCTGAATCTTAATGTGGTATGAAATTCTTGCTTTCTGTGGAGTAGGTTATGATTGGGGCTTTTAACATGGCAGTCATGGATTTGCTAGGAAAGCCATGAGACATAAATACTAAGGCTATTTTGTTGTTGAATGAGACATGTTACGTTTGTGTAACATCTGTATATTGACCAGCCTTCTTCAGTATCATTTACGTCAAATGAGTTATCTTTTACTGCATAATTAATTCCTCTGAAATTAATTAATTTAATTAATTACTCTGTATCTTAAAGCAGCAAACATTTATCTCACAGTTTCAGTCAGTCAGCTCTTGAGATGTGGCTTAGCTTGACTCTTCTGCTCTGGGTCTCTTATAGGGTTATCAATGTGTTGGTCAGGTTTGCAGTCATTTTAAAGCCCAACTTTGAGTGGATCTGCATCCAAGCTCACTGAAGTGGTTGTTGACTTGATGCAACAAGATGGCTGTTGGACTGAGGGCCTCACTTCCTCAGCAGCTGTTGCCTGGCAGCTGTTCTTGGTTTATTGTTATGTGGGCCTCTCCTTAGAGCAGCTCACAACATGGTAGCTGGCTTCCCCAGAGTGGGCAAGTGAGACTGCAAGAGAATAAGCATGTGGAAATCATAGTTTTTTATAAGCTAATATTGAACATGACATTCCATCACTTTTCTATATTCTATTCTACCAAAAATAATTCTCTCAGTTAAGCTCACATTCAAAGGGAGAGGATTACATGAGGACAAAAATTCCAGGAAATGGAGATTATTGGTAATCAATAAAGTTACCTGCCACACTCAGAATAAGGAAAACGTTCAGTGAGAAATGGTAGATGACAACAACAATGCATATCAATATATGTAGTTGGTGCAAACAGGACCTTAGAATTGTGGGAAACTTTCCAAATGTTGTGTATCTAATTGTGTAAATGATGAAATCTGATTTACTTATAAAATGCAATGTCATATACCAAAATAATACATGGATTTATTGAACAAAGCAAAAATGCTTATGGCAATATCTGACATAATGAAGTACTTAATGCTTATTTCAAATCCTGAAAGATGATGCAGCACCTGAAAGTGCTGCAGTCAATATGCCAGCAAATCTGGAAAACTCAGCAGTGGCCATAGGACTGGAAAAGGTCAATTTTCATTCCAATCCCAAAGAAGGGCAATGCCAAAGAATGTTCAAATTACCGCAAAATTGCACTCGTTTCACATGCTAGCAAAGTAATGCTCAAAATCCTCCAAGCTAGGCTTCAACGATATGTGACCCGAGAGCTTCCAGATATACAAGCTGGATTCAGAAAATGCAGAGGAACCAAAGATCAAATTGCCATCTGTTGGATCATAGAAAAAGCTAGAGAATCTAGAAAAACATCTACATCTTCTTCATTTACTACACTAAAGATTTTGTATAGATCACAATAAACTGTGCAAAATTCTTAAAGAGATGGAAATACCAGACCACCTTACCTGCCTCCTGCAAAACCTCTATGCAGGTCAAGAAGCAACAGTTAGAACCAGACATGGAACAATGGACTGGTTCAAAATTGGGAAAGGAGTATGACAAGACTGTATATTGTCACCCTGCTTACTTAACTTATATGCAGAGTACATCATGCAAAATGCCAGGCTAGGTGAAGCACAAGATGGAATCAAGATTGCCAGGAGAAATACCAGTAATTTCAGATATGCAGATGACACCGCCCTTATGACAGAAAGTGAAGAAGAAATAAAGAGCCTCTTGATGAAGGGGAAAAGAGGAGAGTGAAAAAGCTGGCTTAAAACACAACATTCAAAAAAAAAAAAGATTATGGCATACATTGCCATCACTTCATGGCAAATAGGTGGAGGACCAATGCAAGCAGTGACAGACTTTATTTTTGTGGGCTGCAAAATCGCTGTAGACGGAGACAACAGTCATGAAATTAAAAGACATTTGCTCTTTGGAAGAAAAGCAATGACAATCCTACACAGCATATTAAAAAGCAGAGACATTACTTTGCTGACAAATGTCCATCTAATCAAAGCTATGGTTTTCCCAGTAGTCATGTGTGGATGTGAGAGCTGGACAGTAAAAAAGGCTGAGTGACAATGAATTGATAACCTTCAAACTGTGGTGCTGGTAAAGATTCTTGAGAGTCCCTTGGACTGCAAGGAGATCCAACAAGTCCATCCTAAAGGAAATTAGTTCTGAATATTGATTGGAAGGACTGATGCTGAAGCTGAAGCTCCAATACTTTGGCCACCTGAGGCAAAGAGCTGACCCATTGGAAAAGACTCATGCTGGGAAAGATTGAAGGCAGAGGAGAAGGGGGTGACAGAGGATGAGATGGTTTGGATGGCATCGCCGACTCGATGGACATGAGTTTGAGCAAACTCCGGGAGATGGTGAAGGACAGAGAAGCCTGGCATGCTGCAGTCCATGCAGTCACAAACAGTCAGACATGACCGGGCGACTGAACAACAATGCTTGAAGGAAATCTTAATTTTATGCAACCCAGTTTTCTAAAATTTGAAGAAATATTTATTGAGAATTTTTGAGGCAGATACTATTTGAACATTATTCTTGTGCAGGCTTTTTAATTTAGGAGGGAAACATTATTATTCTGTCCATTTCCAAATGGTTCAGATATTTAGAAGTATCCAGAGTATGGAAGACATTCGCCCTGTGTCAGCAGGCTTCTTAAAAAATACATATACATTGTGCTTCGGTTTCCTTCCACATTCTAGATTGCCAGTCTACATGCTTTCATTTTCTCTTTTCCTGCAGAAAAGTCCATCAATTCCTCTGCTTCTACAATTTCTTCAGTGACACATGTATTTATGGTTTCAGGGATCGTTGACATTCAGTGATGTGGCCATAGGATTCTCTCAGCAGGAGTGGGAATGCCTGGATCCTGTTCAGAAGACTTTGTACCGGGATGTGATGATGGAGAACTATGGTAACTTGGTCTCACTGGGTACGTTCATAAGCCTCAAATAATTTAGGTTAATTTAGAATCTGCTCTATAGGCTATGTATTTTTTCCACTGTGATTTACAGGGCTGCCTTTCAAGAAACTAACTAAATTTGTTTTTCCTCTTCCCCAAAAAGTTGTTAAGCTTTGTCAGGTTAGAAATGGCAGCACCATTAAATACCTTCATCTTCACTATCCTTCAATCATACTTTTATCTCCATGTATTCTCTTTTTGTATTTGCATCTCTTCCATAATGACCAAGCAACTAAATTAGAAATTTGTGGCATATATTGTACAACATGGTCAAAGGATCCAAATTTTTTGTTCATTTGTGTTCCAAACTGCTCTAATACTTCATTTTATGATTTGAAACAGTTTTAGGGATATTAGCTTATCACAGGGCCCTGAATTGCTCTCAGAGCCTCCACAGTTTGTATGATAATGGGTTGGATAATTGGAATTTATTTAAAATTGTACCAAAAGCAGTTCATTTCCTAAAACAAAAGTCTTCATCTGATTTGTGGCTGAAAGTTGTGATTGGTGAAAATTACATTCAAAATGGAATGAATATCTTATAGCTATCTTTTCTTGTGTCCTCTAGTGATACTAGAGCATAAGAATAAAATTAATAGTTAACATTTTGATTACTGTGTAGTAATCATTATTCTAGGTACATTATGTGGTTTAACTTATTAAAATAACTTGAGTATTAACTGATTTAATTCCCACAACAGTACCATTATCCCCATTTTATAAAGGCGAATACTGAAGTGCAGTGGGTTTAAATGAATTGTTCAAGGTTATGCCAAAGGCAGGAATTGATTCCAGGCTTCAGAGTATCTTTTTAACCACATTATGCTTGATCTCTAGAGTCAGAAGACATAATGAGTTTGAATTTTATTTTATTTATTTATTTTTTTTTAGTTTGAATTTTAAACACAGCAAAACAAAAACTTTACCTTACCAACTGATCTCTATTCTTTAATTCTCTCATTCTTCTCTAAAATAGTCAGTATCATTATGATCTTTTATAATTGTAATTATAATTTTAATCTTGATTAGTTGCAATTTATTTTTCCATCCTGTGGCATTCTTTTTTCTTTAAAGCAGGCCATTCCATTTCTAAGCCAAATGTAATTACCTTACTGGAGCAAGGAAAAGAGCCCTGGCTAGTTGTGAGAGAAGAAACAAGAAGCTGGTGTGCAGGTAAGAGCCAGCAGGCAGAAGACATTTGTGTAAGTGACAGCCCAGGTGGCACGCGCTTGGTAAACAGCCTTGAAACATTCGTTGGGCGGTTTCCTTCTCAGTGATGTGTGCTAAGTTGCTGCAGTCATGTCCAACTCTTTGTGACCCCGTGAACTGTAGCTCACCAGGATCCTCTGTCCATGACATTTCTGAGCCAAGATTACTGGAGTGGGTTACCATATCCTCCAGGGGATCTTCCTGACCCAGGGATCAAACCTGAGTCTCCTGCATTGCAGGTGGGTTCTTTACCGACTGAGCTACCAGGGAAGCCCAGAAACTGCATGTTTAACAATCTTAGAAAGCTTACATTGCTCCATTCCACTTACTCCATATCCTTTTCTTTTTTTTTTTTTCCATATCCTTTTCAACACTTGATCTTGTCAGTCACTTAAATTCTAGATACTACAGTTGGTATGTAGTAGTATCTTAGTGGTTTTACTTTGCATTTCCATGATGACTAATGATCTGGAGTTTCTTTCATTTACTGATCATTCATATTTTTAGGAGTATTTGTTCAGATCTTCACCCATTTGAAATCATTATTTTCTTACACTTGAGGGGTAACTGTTCTTTATTTTGGAACAGAAGGAAGTTGTTGTGGAACATTAAAAACATTTTCCCCACAATTTGTCTTACCTATTTTATTAATATCTTAGAAGGAGTTTAAAAATTTTTATATATTCCAATTTATCAATTTCCTCTTTTATGATTTTTTTTTTTGTATACTATAAAAGAAATCTTTGCCTACCCCAAGGTGGCAAAGTTTTTTCCCTATTTTTTCTTGACCTTTTAAGTTTTGCTTTTACATTTAGTTCTGTATTCATTTTGAGTTAATTTTTTATTACAGTGTGAGTAGGGTTCAGGACTAATGGTTTTCCTATGGATACAGTTACTCTAGCACCATTTTTTATTTTTTATTTTTTTATTTTTTTCATTTATTTTTATTAGTTGGAGGCTAATTACTTTACATCATTGCAGTGGTTTTTGTCATACATTGAAATGAATCAGCCATGGATTTACATGTATTCCCCATCCCGGTCCCCCCTCCCACCTCCCTCTCCACCCAATCCCTCTGGGTCTTCCCAGTGCACCAGGCCCGAGCACTTGTCTCATGCACCCAACCTGGGCTGGTGATCTGTTTCACCCTAGATAATATACGTGTTTCGATGCTGTTCTCTTGAAACATCCCACCCTCGCCTTCTCCCAGAGTCCACAAGTCTGTTCTATACATCGGAGTCTCTTTTTCTGTTTTGCATATAGGGTTATCGTTACCATCTTTCTAAATTCCATATATATGTGTTAGTATACTGTAATGGTCTTTATCTTTCTGGCTTACTTCGCTCTGTATAATGGGCTCCAGTTTCATCCATCTCATTAGAACTGATTCAAATGAATTCTTTTTAATGGCTGAGTAATATTCCATGGTGTATATGTACCACAGCTTCCTCATCCATTCGTCTGCTGATGGGCATCTAGGTTGCTTCCATGTCCTGGCTATTATAAACAGTGGGTGCAGTATTTTTTAAAATCTTTTCTCTGTTTTCTTATTGAACTTGTAAGTTACTTTTCATATTCTACATTAAAATATAATGTTTTTAATATTCTCTTTTTCATTGTGATTTTTCCTTTCATTCTTATAGCAGTATGTTTTGGAGAACAGAAGTTTTTAACTTTCACAAAATTGAGTTTACCTATTTATTCTTTATGAATCATGACTTCTGGTGTATCTAAGAATTCTCCTTGCTGTCCAAGGGACTCTTAAGAGTCTTCGTCAACACCACAGTTCAAAAGCATCAATTCTTTGGCACTCAGGCTTTCTTTATAGTCCAACTCTCACATCCATACATGACTACAGGAAAACCATAGCTTTGACTAGACTGACCTTTGTTGGCAAAGTAATGTCTCTGCTTTTTAATATGCTGTCTAGGTTGACCATAACTTTTCTTCCAAGGAGCAAGCGTCCTTTAATTTCATGGATGCAGTCACTATCTGCAGTGATTTTGGAGCCCCCCAAAATAAAGTTTGTCACTGTTTCCACTGTTTCTGAATCTATTTGTCATGAAGTGATGATCTTAGTTTCCTGAATGTTGAGTTTTAGGCCAACTTTTCACTCTCCTCTTTCACTTTCATTGAGAGGCTCTTTAGTTCTTCTTCACTTTCTGCCATAAGTGTGGTGTCATCTGCATATCTGAGGTTATTGTTATTTCTCCCGGCAGTCTTGATTCCAGTTTGTGCTTCATCCAGTACAGCATTTCTCATGATGTACTCTGCATATAAGTTAAATAAGCAGGGTGACAATATACAGCCTTGACATACTTCTTTCCTGATTTGGAACCAGTCTGTTGTTCCATGTCCAATTCTAACTGTTGCTTCTAGACCTGCATACAGATTTCTCAGGAGGCAGGTCAGGTGGTCTGGTATTCCAGCCAGTCCATCCTAAAGGAAATTGGTCCTGAATATTCATTGGAAGGACTGATACTGAAGCTGAAACTCTGATACTTTGGCCACCTGATGTGAAGAACTGATTGAAGACCCTGAAGCTGGGAAAGATTGAAGGTGGGAGGAGAAGGGGACAACAGAGGATAAGATGGTTGGATGGCATCAGCGACTCAATGGACATGAGTTTGAGTAAACTCCGGGAGTTGGTGATGGATGAGGAGGACTGGCATGCTGCAGTCCATGGGATCACAGAGTTGGACACGACTGATCGACTGAACTGAATTGAACTGAACTGAAGAATTCTTTGTCTAGCCCAAGGTCACACATTTTTTTCCTGTTTTCTTCTAGAAGTTGCACAGTTTTGTTTAATGTTCAGGTCTGTGATCCATTTTTTATTTCATTTTTATTTATGAAAGTCTGCATTCTTTTTTTCTTTTTCCTTTTTGGCATATGGGTATCCCAGTTGTTCCTACATCATTTCTTTATTCACTATTGCCTTTGAAATGATGAAAGTAAAATTTCACATATGTATTGATCTATTTCTGATAATCTGTTCCATTGGTTATGTGTCAATTTGATGTGTCTTGCTGATTACATATCCTCATAAGTCTTATAATTAAGTAGTGTTATTTAGTCCTTGTATTACAGTCTTTTCAAAGTTTATTGTAGATCCTTTGCATTTCCTTATAAATTTTAGGATCAGCTTGTCAGTTTCATCATAGACAACAAAAATGTCTGCCAGGACTTTTTAATGAAATTACATTAAATCTATAAATCAATTCAGCAATAATTATTGACATCTTAATAATACCAAGTTTTACACCCCATGAACATGATATATCTCTCCATTTATTTATTTATTCATATTTCTCAGCAGTGTTAGTGTACAGGTCTTACACATATTTTTTGAGATATATCCCTCATGATATCCTGTTTTTGGTACTACTTTAAAGCTTTTAAAATTTGAATTCCTGAGTGTTCTCTCATATTTATTGTACATATTGATTGTATATGCTTCAGCCTTGCTAAACTGAGTTATTACCTTCTAGTAGCTGTTTTGTAGATTACATTTGACTTTCTACATGTATGATTAAGTAATCTTGATGAATGACATTTTTGTTTCTTAGCTTTTTTCCTGCATGCCTTTATTTATTTTCTTGACTTACTACAGTGCCTGGAACTTTTAGTCCAATGTTGAATAGAAGTGCTGAGGCCATAACTTTTTATTGTTCCTGATCATATGTGGTAGGCATAATTCTCTCACCATTGGATATGATGTTAGCTGTGGGTTTTTGGCAGATGATCTTTATTAGGATAAGTTCTTTTTTCTCGTTTGCTGTAATTTTTTTTTAGATTTTCTTTAATGTGAACTATTTTTTTGAAGTCTTTATTGAATTTGTTACAATATTGTTTCTGTGCTTTATGTTTTTTGCCTGCAAAACATGTGGGATCTTAACTTACCGCCCAGGGGTTGAACCACACCCCCTGCATTGGAAGGCGAATTCTTAACCATTGGATCACCAAGAAAGTCCCTGCTGTGAGTTTTTAAGAGGGACAGATATGAATTTTATTAAATGCTTAAAAAAAATTTTTTTTAGACATGATCCATATGGGTTTTCTAGTTAATTATATTGATGGAATTTTCAAATATTAAACCAGTCTTGTATTCGTGAGATTGATCATTGATACGGTCTGAATGTTTCTATACCCCAGTATGCACATATTGAAATCCTAACCCCCAAAGATAATGGCATTTGGAGGAAAAGCCCTTGGAATTTGCTTAGGGCATGAAGGTAGAGCCCTCATGAGTAGAATTAGTGTTCTTATTAAGAATTCCCACACGGATTCCTAACCCCTTACACTGTATGAGAATGTATTGAGAGGGTACTGGCTATGAACTAGGAAGAAGGCCTTTCCCAGAATATGATCATACTGGTCCCTTGATCTTGGACTTCTCAGCCTTTGGAACTGTGAGAAATAAATTTCTGTGTTTATGAGCTACCCAGGGTATTTTTTTTGTTACAGTAGCCCAAATGGACTAAGACAGGCATAATGTATTATCTTTTTTATATTCTGTTAAGATAGTGTTTAGTATTTTGCATATATGTTTACAAAGACTTCCCAGATGGCTCAGTGATAATCCACCTGCTAAGCAGGACCTGCCAAGCAGGTTCAATCCCTGGGTCAGGAAGATTCCCTGGGGAAGGAAATGGCAACCCACTCCATTATTCTTGCTGGGTAATTCCATGGACAGAGGAGCCTGGCAGGCTACAGTCCATAGGGTCACAGAGTTGGACATGACTGATCAGCTAAGCTTGCACACAAATATGTTTACAAGATTTTATACTGTGTAATTTTCACTTCTTACAATGTTTTTCTCCTGTTTGGTATCAGAATAACCAGCTGCATAGAGTGATTCACTCCTCAGTTTTCTGAAAGAGTTTGTTTAGAGTTGGTAGTACTTCTTCCCTAAGTGTTTGAAACAATTCACCAGTGAAATCACTTGTGCTTGTAATTTTCTTTGTGGGGAGGTTTTCAAATTGTTTTGTAGGTATAGTGTTGCCACACTGATTTATATCCTCATGCACATGTCATTGTTGGTAAGGGTGAATGTTGTACTGATCCATACCCAAACAGGCTTCCCTGATAGCTCAGGTGGTAAACAATCCGCCTGCAATGGAGGAGACCCGGGTTCGATCCCTGGGTTGGGAAGATCCCCTGGAGAAGGAAAAGGCTACCCACTCCAGTATTCTGGCCTGGAGAATTCGATGGACTGTATAGTCCATGGGGTCTCAACAAGTTGGACACTACTGAGCGCCTTTCACTTTCACATACCCAGATACCAAATTAAGAAATCTCCTTTTCTGGCTATTTTTGTCCCAGTGTTCCCCCCTTGCTTTCTAGTTTGTCAGTGCTCCCTTTCATTGTTCTTATAGCTAGAAATATTGTGGAGTTTCTGTTGGAATTTTTGTAGCCCATGCTTACCCCACAATAACTCCGACCTGCCCTTGAAACATGGACATGAAAGGGACTTAAGCAAGAAACTCAGCTCAGTCTCAGCTGCTTTGTAAAGTCTTAACTCCTTTCCAAAGCCCTCATGATTTATTTACAGCCTTAATGTAGTTAATTTTTATGTTTTGTCAAGTGTTAATTGGTGAAGTCAGTCAGAAAGGGGGCAGGCCATAGGAACTTCATGCTGCCATACTGGTACTAGAACTTCTTCGATTAGAGTTATTTAATGATGAGAAACAATTTTTATCTCTTGCATTCCCTGCTGATTCATTGCTTTTTACTGCAAGGTTTTTACCTGTCACAATCATTTTTATGCCACTATTTTTTTTATTTTTTAGCCAGGTTAAACTTTCTAAGCCTTTGAATTCTTCCTCTCTTTTTGGCATAAGAGCCTAAATTTTCCCTTTGTCCAGCTATGCTGTATCCATTTTTTTAGATCTAGATATTGATAAATTACAGTACAGGTGTTAAAATATGTTTATTACTTTTTTTTTTCTGGCAGCTTTTTTTCTGTTTCTTCTGTAGCATCTGATTGGTTTAGGCTTTCTCTTCTGAGGTCAGTTTTGATAAATTTTCCTAGAAAGTAATCCATACTTTCAAAAGTAGTCATGTAGTATAATTCATACAAATTATACCTTACAGTCTAAATAAATTCCTATTTCTTTTAATTCATCCGGTGGTTCTTGTTTTCCTCTTATTATTATTTGTTTTTAATTGTCTTTTTTAATTGATTTATGTAACACTTCTTATAATGATTTTTTAAAAACACCAGCTCTTTATTTGTTAATGCTACTGTTTTCTAACTCATTATGTTCTACTTTTATCTTTATTTTACTGCCTCCCTCTGCTTTGTTGTTTGTTGTTTATTTTTTACATATTAGGCTTTGAGTCTCAAATCACTTTTTTGTAGAGATAATTATTTTAGGTTTTGAGTTCTCTGTCTGGTGATACAATGCCCAAGATTCAGATATGGGCTTGTTTTATGTGTGGTTCACTTACTAGAATTCTTTTATTTTAGTTTTTCCTTCCTGTCATGATCTAGCCTTTTTGGAGAAAGCATTTTCATTTCCACATGAAAGCTCTTTTGGTTTCTAGTATTTATTAATTTCCATTGTTATCAATTTTGAAGCATGTTGTTAATATTCTTTCAATTTTTTATATACATACCATACCATACGCTAGTTACAAGAAGATATTTTTTGCCCTCAACTCATAGCCTCCTCATTAAACACTGTGTATTTTGATCAAGATACTTCACAGAGACTTTATCATTCAGTTCCCAACTGCTAATTGTTTTTCATATAATTATTGGTGCTCTTCTAGACTCTTTTGTATAATTCAAGTTCCCTCTTTTGCCCAAAGTCCCTAACTGTTCAAAATACTACATGACTTGTAGGTATACCTGGTATATATCAGAGAACTGATTGACAAACTTTTCTGGGGATGACCAGAAAGGTTGATGATGATGATGTGATGTTTAGTCGCTAAGTCGTGTCCAACTCTTGTGACCCCGTGGACAGTAGCCTGCCAGGCTCTTCTGTCCCTGGGATTTCCCAGGCAAGAATACTGGAATGGGTTGCTATTTCAGTCTCCAGAAGATCTTCCCAAACAAGGGATCGAATCCACGTCTCCTGCATTGGTAGGCAGATACTTTACCATCAGGGTAAAGCCTTGATCAGAATGGTTGGCCTTGGTTAAAAAGGAAAGCTAGAGAGGACCTGAGAAAAGCTATGAAGGAATAAATGAGATTGAACATCTATAAGGATGATAAATAATAAAGTGTCAGGGGAGGAGTAACTAAGCAAAGACCCTCAGTATCTTAATTTATTATGAAGAATAAATAAAAGCACATGTGGCTATGCATAGAGGTAAAGAGTCACAGTGGTGGAAATGAATATTTTTAGGGGAATTGTAATTGAAGACTGATCAGGTATAAATAATTGCCTTTTGAAATTTTATATATATACATATTTATATTTTAGATAGAAATGGTATTTAGAGATGGCTGATACTGGCTCTCTAGGGACAGGATTTTGCATATCATCCTAAGTCTAGTTTCAGTTACATTACACTGATAGCTTGAAATTGCCTGTGATGGGACTGTTTACACCATAGACATTGGCAAACACTATAAATCAGGGCTGGATGTGTTCTGTGTGTGTCTTTGTAGAGCTGGTTGTTAAACATTTACCAGCACTGTACTGTATCAACTTACTTTTTCTGAGCCCTCCTTTTAAGTTTTCAAGTTTTTAGAGTTCTTTAAACCATCTCTACTGGGTGAAATTTTCAGTTTTTCTCTTAATTCTATAAAATGTTTTGTGGTCAAAGGAACTTTTTTCTTATTTGTTTTAGATTTGGACTCAAGATATGAAATAACCAGCAATGGAAAAGCATACATTTATAAAAAACGTTCATCTCTTACTCTACACCACAGAATTGCTAATGGAGAGAAACCGTATGAATGTAAGGAATGTGGGAAGGCCTTTAGTCGTCATACAGACCTAAAAGTACATCAAGTAATTCATACTGGTGAGAAACCGTATGAATGTAAGGAATGTGGGAAGGCCTTTAGTCGTCCTACAGATTTAAAAGTACATCAAGTAATTCACACGGGTGAGAAACCGTATGAATGTAAGGAATGTGGGAAGGCTTTTAGTCGTCTTACAGACTTTAAAGTACATAAGAGAATTCATACTGGTGAGAAACCCTATGAATGTGAACAGTGTGGGAAGGCTTTTAGTCGTGCTTCCAACCTTGCTCAACATGCCAGAGTTCATACTGGTGAGAAATCCTATGAATGTAAGGAATGTGGGAAGGCCTTTAGTGATGTTGGAACACTTAAAATACATCAGAGAATTCATACTGGTGAGAAACCGTATGAATGTAAGGAATGTGGGAAGGCCTTTAGTCAAGCCTCAAACCTCATACAACATGACAGGATTCATACTGGTGAAAAACCCTATGAGTGTAAAGACTGTGGGAAGGCCTTTAGTCATGCTTCACATCTTGTTAGACATGAGAGAATTCATACTGGTAAGAAACCCTATGAATGTAAGGAGTGTGGGAAGGCTTTTAGGAGTAGCCATCAACTTACTATACACCGTAGATTTCATACTGGTGAGAAACCGTATGAATGTGAGGCATGTGGGAAGGCCTTTAGTGTGTATGGACGACTTACTCGACATCAGAGTATTCACAGTGGTGAGAGACCTTTTGAATGTAACAGATGTGGGAAGTGCTTTAGGCTCAGTTCAAGCCTTAAAGTACACCAGAGTATTCATACTGGTGAAAAACCCTTTGAATGCCACAAATGCGGGAAGTCCTTTAGGCTTAGTTCAATGCTTAAGGTACATCACAGAATTCACACTGGAGAGAGACTTTGTGGGATATATGTATAGTAGACAGTGGAATTATACAACTTGTAATGAAGAGAATGTGAGAAGGATTTTATATGGTTCAGTTCTTATAAGGCATCAAATAATTTAGGAACTCCTTGGAATTCAAGCAACATTTGAAGTTTTTCAGTTATGACCCAAATACTGTTCACCTCCAGAGAATTTATATTGTACTTTATATTAACAAGTCTTTTATGGCATTCCCCTTTTGTTACTATTCACTGAGTGACCAAGCTCTTTGGCCAAGGTTGCAAAGCAGATAAGTGCCTCCAGTTCTCTGGTTGTGGAATTAAGATCACCAAGCCATGCAGCATGGCCAAAAAAGGAAAAAATAAGAATAAAAACCTCCCAACAAAGAAAAGTCCTATGCCTGGTGGCTTCACTGGTGAATTTAAACAAGAACTAATACCAGTCTTTCTCAAACTTTTCAAAAAAATTGAAGACGAGGGAATACTTCCTAACTGATACTGTGAGACCAGTGCAACCCTGTTAACAAAACTACTAAAAAACCACTACAGTAAAGAAAACTACAGAACAATGTCTCTTATGATCATTTATCCAAAAATCCTCAACAAAGTACTGGCAAACAGAATTCTGCAGCATATTAAAAGGATTGTACAGAATCACCAAATGGATTTATTCCTAGAATGCAAGCATGGTTCATCATATGAAAGTTCACCAGTGTAATATGGCACATCAGCAAAATGAAGGAAAAAAACATGATCATGTCAACCGATACAGAAAAAGCATTTGACAAAATTCAACACTCCTTTATAATAAAAATACTCAACAAAATAGGTATAGAAGGAAATCATCTCCATTGTAACAACAGGTATATATGAAATTATCTCCACATAATAAAAGCTATATGAAAGACCAATAGGAAGCATAATACTTGATAAAAGACAAGATTTTTATCTAACATCAAGAAACAAGACAAGCATGTCTGCTTGTACCACTTCTATTCAACACAGCACTGAAAAGTCTCAGCAGATCATTATGCAAGAAAAACAAAGGCATCCAAATTGGAGAGGAAAAAGTAAAATGATCTCTGTTATTAGGTGACATGATGTTATATGTAGAAAACCCTTAAAAGACTACAAAAGTAATCTGTTAGATTTGATAAATGAACTCAGCAAAGTTTCAGGATGCAAAGTCAACATGTAAAAATCAGTTGCATTTCTGTACATTAACAAAAAACAAAATTAAAAGGAAATTTCAAAAACAAGTCCATTTATAATAGTATCAAAAAGGATGAAATAGTGAAATTAACCAAGGAAGTAAAAGTACAATGAAAGCTACAAAATAAGAAATTATAGAAGATATAAATAAATGGAGAAACATCCCATGTTCATAGATTAGAAGACACTGTTATTAAAATGCCAGTGCTACCCAAAGCAATCTACAGATTCAAAGCAATCCCAATCAAAACCCCAATGATGCTTTTTGCAGAAATACAAAACCCCACCCTGAAATTCAAATGGAATCTCAAAAGGATCTCTAGTTGCCAAAACAATCTTGAAAAGAACAAATCTAGAGGACTCACATTTCCTGATTTCAAAACTTACTATGAAACTTTAGTAATCAAAACTGTGGTATCTGCATAAAGACAGACATATCCACAAGTGGAATAGAATAGAGAGCCCAGAAGTAAACCCTTACATATATAGTCAAGTGATTTTGACAAGGCTACCAAGACCATTCAATGAGGAAAATACTTTTTTCAACAAATATAGCTGGGAAAACTGGATGTCTACACTGAAAAGAATGAAGCTGGACCCTTACCTAATGTCTTGTACAACAACTATCTCAAAATAGACTGAGGACCTAAACACAAGACTTAGAACTTTTAGAATAAAACAGGACAAAACTTTCATGACATTGGATTTGGCAATGTTTTCTTGGATATGACATCAAAGACACAGCAAAAGAATTGGACTTGGTGAAATTTTAAAAAATTGTATCAAAAGACAGTGTCCATTCAAACAATGTCATTGAAACTAATGGAGTATCGTTTTCAATAGGTTATTTTTGGAAATTACTTTTCTATAACTATGTATCTTCTTCATTAGATGAGAATGTGTAGATCATTGTCACCTGAAGGAAGAAAGAAAAAACAGGCACTATCCACAGAGTGAAAGGCAGTCCACAGAATGGGGGAAAATATTTGCAAATTTGATAAGCAATTATATCCAGAATGTAGAGAAACTTCTAAAACTCAACATTGAAAAAAAAAAAAATGGGTAAAAAACTTAGACATTTCTCCAAAGAAGATATATGAATGGAGCATAAGCACATGGAAATACGCTTAACGTCACTAATCATTAAGGAAATACAAATCAAAACTACCGTGAGGTGCCACCTGACATCTATTAAGATCACTACTATTGGGGAAAAAAAAGAAAAACAGAAAAAGAACAGTGTTGGAAAGGATATAGAGAAATTGGAACCTATCTGCACTACTGGTGGGAATGTAAAATGGTACAACCATTGTAGGAAGTGTATGTAGTTTCCTCAAAAGGTTAAAAAGAGAAGTATGTATGATCCAGCTGTAGGTATAATTGAGGTCAGGGTCTTTAAGAGCTAGTTATATACTGTTCATAGCAGCATTGTTCACATTAGCTCTAACATGGAGGAAATCCAAGAGTCCATAAGCTAAATGTGGTATATATATATATATATATAATGGAATATTCCTCAGCCTTTTAAAAGAAGGAAATTTAGTAATATGCCAAACAAAGATGAACTGTGAGGATATTTTGGTGAATGAAGTAAATTGTCACAAGAGGCAAATATTGAATGATTCTACTTACATGAAGTACTTGGTCAAAAATCATTGAACTTAAAAAAAAAAAATCATTGAACTTGTAATGGTGGCTGTCAGTGCCTGGGGAGAGTGGGGAATTACTGATTATGATTGATATGTATAAAGTTTTAGTGTTAAAAAATGAAGAGTTATAGGGTTCAATGGTAGTTTTGACTATATACAATGTCACTGAAATGTATATTTAAAAATGGTTAAGATGGTAAATTTATGATATATGTATTTTTTAAAAATATAACAACAAAAATTCACAGACTGGATAGCTTTAATTTATCTTCTCATGGTTCTGGAGACAAGATGTCATCAAGTTTGGTTTCTTCTGAGGCCTTTCTCCTTCGCTTGCAGATGACTGCCTTCTCACCGTGACCTCATGTGACCTTTTGTCTGTGTGTGCACATCTCTGTTGTCTCTCTGTATGTCCTAATCTTGTAGTAACATTAGTATTAATAAGAGTGGATTAGCGCCCACCCAAATAGCCCTATTTTAATTACTTCTTTTAAACCTTATCTCCAAATACAGTCACATTTTAAGGTCCTGGGGGTTAGGGTTTCAATAGATCAGTTTTGGGGAGGCACATAACACTGGTTCATAACACTGGTCAAACTGATAAAACGAGGTCTCAGGCATACAAAAAACTTTTTAGGCAAGATATTCCAAGGGATATTCCAGTTATTCCCAGAAACTGCTCAAAATCAATCCCTTCTTAGAATGTGCAGGATTTGGGCAAACCAAGGCTGAGTTGTTAACCCTTTACTACAAGCTATGCAAGCACTAACTCAAAGCTAATTAAGAAAATAAAGATAACCAGAGATGAAGAGGGATAAAAAGGTGAATTCATCAGAAACATGCAGCAATCTAAAATTTTGTGTAAACCTAAAACATACCTTTAAAATATATGAAGTAAAAAATGACAACAAAAAGAAGAAATAGAAAAATTGGCAGTTATAGTGGAGGACTTTAATCCACCTCTCTCAATATACACATAGAGAATAAGTAGACAAAAGAGTCAATGAATATCTGAGTAACATGATGAATGAATTTCACATATATAGAATACTATACCCAATAATGACTGAATACACACCTATTTTCCCATGCATATGGAACAATATATAAAAGTTGATCATAATTTTTGGTTGAGCCATAAGTTTCAATGCATTTTTAAAAATTAGGATTGTTCAGATCATGTCCTCAGAGTAGAAGGGATCTTATATTAAAGAGTTTTATCCAGAAAAATTTTTTCTTAATGTTGAAATATTGAAAACTTTCCCCTGAGACTTAAAGCAAGACAAGATATCCATGGTCACCACCACTACTCAATATTGTATTGGAGAGCTTGGCCATTGCAAAAGGCAAGTAGAAAAGACTTAAAGGTTGGAAAGGAAAAACTAAAACTGTCATTATGTGTACATAGGGTATCTAAAAGGATTTCAGGTAGCTTAGAGGGAATGTATGAAATTAATAAGGTTACTGGCTGTAATGTCAATGTTTTTAAATTGTTTATACATACCAACAACGAATACTTTAAAATGTTTTAAATTACAGTTTATAAAGTATTAAAGTCAAATACCTAGTAATAAATTAACAAAAGACATGCAAAACTTCTACACAGAAAATTATGAACTATATTGAGATGAAGTAGTACCTAAAGAAATTAAAGAACATATACTTTGTAGATTGGGAAATTGTTGAAGTAATTTCAGTTCTCTACAATCTGAGTTGTATATTTATTGCATAGTACTCCCCCAAAAATATCATCAGGCTCTGTGTGTGTATAATGGACAAGCTGATTCTAAAATATACTTCGAGTTGCAAAGGAGGAAGAATAAGTAAGACAAATTTCAAGAACCAGGAGGAGGAAGAGGGGAGGAATAGGAGCAACAACAAAACTGGAGGACGTGTACTAGCAGGCATCAACTCTCACTATCCATTGTGGCCTTGGAATTTCCCCTGAGGCTTTGGTCACGGATAGACAAATAGACCAGTGGAACTGAAGAGTACAGAAACAGGCTCACACATGTAAGACAGAGTTAACACTTTGTTGTAAGTTGGGAAAAGAACCTTTCTTGTAAGTATTGCTGGATGAAATGAATATATGTATGGAGAAAAATTTT